TTTGGCCTCGTCTATTTCACTGTCTGAAAGGAGAACCCACTCCTCTGCCATTCTAGCTGCCTTTGCTGCGTCCTCTGTCACCTCCCCCTGATATGTTCCACTCCTCAGTATCTCGCTGACTTTTTCTAGGTCCTCTTTGACTCTTTCTAAGTCCTTCTCCATTATTTCTAATGGTTCTCCAGAAACGTCCTCAGTCCCTTTCTCTAGACCACACCCTGATAAGGAGGATGATTTCTCTGTTGCATCTGCAGTCAGGATGGCAGTCATTTTGATCAAATCCTGTTTCATCTCTGACACGTCGGATAGGAGATCTGGTTCTCGAATCAGCTCAGATTTTGGGGCTGATGACTCCGTCTCTTCATCTTCCATATGGAAGAAATACACGTAAGGAATAAAGAAAATCAAAAATTCAAATGAAAGGAGACAGACATTGGAAAAGGTGATCAGGAAAAGATTGGAAAACACTTTTGGGATAATAGGACAACTAATGCACAATGGATTCTACATTAGGGTATCAGAGGAATATGCTTTTTTTCTTTCTCTTGTCTCAGGGTAATTGCGGTAATGCAAATGCTAAATAATATCAATGGGAAAAGACATGAGCAGGAAATAACTTGCTCTTACACTCGCACCCACACTCACACAAGACAAAACTATGCAGCACAACAAAAATATACAATAAAAACTATACAAATTATGAGATGATGATGACTGTGCAACAGAGAAAAGAACATAAAAGAAATGACAAGAAAAGATCTCAAGATTGCTTGGATGGCTATTGCCATTATAACAGGCAAAAATGGTTTGAAAGAAAACTATCAAATAAAGAAAGCCAGTGATATTCCACAAATAACAAAATGTTATTCTTATATAAAGCTAACCATTTACTTTAGGTTAATAAAGTATAATGAGGATCGTAATAATAGCTGTATCATTTATCCTCCATTGGGATTCTTGTTTAACCTAAAGTAAACATTTAAATTAAACAAAAGCAATCCACAAAACCATAAGAAAATGAGTGTTGTGAGCTGACATTTCAATATTAAGAAAATGACCAAAAGGACAAACTACACACATATTACACACATGCAAGCACACACGTACACGTTTCAGTAAGTCAAGTTATTTCCATGCAAAACTAAGGGAAGTGCTGGTGGAAAGGTCAAGGAAAAGGATGAATGGGGTGATCAGACAGATTATGTAGTTGTACCAAGTTCCTATACAACTCCCTTTTACAAATTGACGATGTGCTCATGATAAGAAGTCATTTAAGATGATTGTATCATTAAGAATTGTGTGGAGTTTTTGCCCCTTTCACGCAAAACTTTCATTTGTATAACATAATGGATAAAAATGTTTTCTAAAAACATACATGTAACATTAATTAATAACATGTAATATATATGTTTGCCTGGTATCTCTTAACATATGAAATTTAGCACATTAAGTGATTTTACATCACTAAATGCTGGATGGAAGGATTCAGAATATGTCTGGAGGTAGATTTTTTTTTTGCTTTACCATTATTCTAAAAGCTGAAACTTGAACACTAAAATCATAGCCTTAAACTCATTTCAGAGGGTTGTTGAAAAGTAATTTCTTTTTTCCCCCCACTTGAAATTGTGTTGCAAATGCATGAGAGTAGGCACATTTTTTTGATGATCAGAGATACAAGTACATCACCGGTAGAACATTGTACAGCAGAAGAGGAAGGAGGCATCATCAAGTAAAGTCCTGATGTGCTTCTGTCAATACTTATCACTCCAGCTGCACTTCCACAGAAAAGCTTCATTCAATTGTATCCTGCTGCTATATAATATGGTAGTTGTCTACCAAAAAGGCAAATGATTGGACTGACTTAGGATATGCAGATAAGATCTCATTTGTTGTACACATGTTGATAGCGGTGCTTTATCCTGCCTGATCTCAAATAGTGAAACACTGACAACAATGATGCAAGTGAAGAATTTAGAGAGAAGTGAGAGCAAATAGTTAAGTCTCAGAAGTATATCACAGGGATGCATGGATGGGCGTGTGAGAGCTGTTGTATGAGTGACAGGACAGGCTTGGATGCATGGTTTGAAGTGATGGTTGAGCTCGGTCTATCAGTGTTCAGTTATTCCTCTGCACTCTGTTATATATCACGTCCACAGTATCGAAGCTGTTATTATAATATTAATACAATGAGTAACATTACTATCAAGCAGAATAGCTATTTTAGTACAAGCTACAGGGATAATTAAGCAGGAATAAATTACTTACATTTCTCAAATGTTCTGCTGGCCTGAAAAAGAAAAGATGAAATACCCATTAGATTTTATGACTAGCTGCATAGTTTTCCTTGTTCAGACTGCTTCCAACATTATTACTGCTTCATAATCCTAATCTCTGCCATGATAAACACTACATTTAGTCAATGTGGTCACCCCATTGTTCACTGAGTTTCACTGGCTACCCCTGGCTGCCCGTATCAAATTCAAGTCCCTGATGCTAGCCTACAAAGTGCTAAAGGGTCCGGCTCCTATCTACCTGAACCCTGTTGCAAAGGCTTATGTCACAACTGGATCCCTCCAGTCATCAACAGATTGTGGTCTAGCAGAGCCTTCACCACATTTAAGACAATCCAGAGTGTTTTCATGTGTTGTTCCAAGATGGTGGAACGCCCTATCAAGTGCTACAAGAACAGCAGCTCCGTTTCTATCTTTAGGAACCTCTTAAAGACCCAGATCTTCAAAGACAATCTCTTATCCTGACTCCTACCCAGACCTCTGTACTACTACTACTCTTTCAGCACTTCCTTCTCTCTCACTTGCTGTCACCACTGATTCTGACTAGGGATTTCCCTCTAGAGAACTTATTGTCATATGGATGATGACTGTAAAATTGTGTCTATTTTGTAAGTCACTTTGGATAAAAGCATCTGCTAAATGCATTGACATAAACATAAACAGAGAACCGAAAGGAAGAATTTGTAGATCTCATGTGCAAAAAAATTGAGTGGGAGCCCGTGGCTACTTTTACCTCTTCCTCTTGGTCAGAATCGGACTCCTTTAGGGAGCAAAAAGCAGCAAGAAATAGATAGATACACACAACAGAAACATTAAGGGCAGAAAGAACACAGGAAACAATTGATAGTGAAAGTAATGTAGACTTAATGTAAACCTCAGTGGTCTTGGGAGTTGACAAAGGCGCTCAATGAAAAATGATGATGACTTGATCCTTCATTATAACAACACACTGTAAGTACCATTACTTTTGTGGAGTATGCTCACCTTGCAGTAGGACGGGAGTGTGATGTTTAGGTTGCAAATGGCATGTTGGGTTAGTGCCCTGTAGTTCCTGGGTTCTTTCATAAAGGACAGTCGACCACATGGCTCCTGAGTGTTGTCTCGGATCTAGGAAAATAGGAGCTCAGCGCTAATAAGCTGATCCTTAGATACACTAAGAGTCCAAGAATATGAAGAACTGATCCTAACAATCAGGTGTTTTAAAGGAATAAATAAGAGTTGGTGCTCACTTTGATGAAGAGTGCCAGTCTATTCTCTTTAAAGGCATAGAAGCTGAAGAGATGATGTTGTCCACTTTTTGTTAAAGGAACTAGGTTTCCGAAGCAGTCTGCATAGATAGGTTTTCCTTCAAGAACCTAAGAAAAGTTGGAAGACCATGAGTGAATAACAGAAATAAAGTTCACCCATACCACCGATGTCTTCTACTTGATGAGATTCTGGAACTTTTGAGGGGTGTTGTCCCTGACCTGCAATCCACTGCTAGACTCTGGCTAGGCTCCCTTTTGTTTTCTCAAACTAATGGCCTCCGCTAGAACACTTAGTAAGAATTTAATATACCCATATGTGGACTACTGTCCACCAAAATACATGATTACATTAACAGCCAAAACATACTGATTCTTGATAGCAAATGTAAGATTTATAACAAGATACCGAAAAGGAATGGCTGACAGTGATCACACTAGAGTCATCCATTCATTTCCTAACAATTTAGGGGGCTTTTGGCATTCTCCGATTGATTTTCTCTTCCTTAATCCTTCCTCACCTCCACGTCTCTGCTCCGGGCGACCTCGGTGAAGTTCTCCTGTTGCTCCAGGGTTTTGTCTATCTTGTCGTCGGTCATGCAGAAGCAGCGTAGGCGGGCCTCAATGGGGTCATGGGTCTTGGCAAATATGACAAACTTGGCCATGTAGGGGACACAGATAATCTCTCGGTATACCTGAGAGGAGAAGGTGACCGATTCCTGGATTTGTCGACAGTCTATAAGCCAGAATCTAGAGATGGGAGGGATAAAAGAAAGAAGGTTAGGTGTTTGACAACTGACATCTGGTCACCATGCTCGAACAAGTTGTTTTACCTGGCAGACACATTAGTGGTGAACGATACGCAGTCATTGATAAAAGTTAACGGGGTGGTTCCTGTTATATCCTCCCACTGGGCTGGAGTTGTTCCACCTGAACAATGAATGACAAAAAACAAAATAGAAGTATCCCCATCAGCTTGTGACCAAACGCTATGCATTTCAGACCTGGGTATACGTTTGAGTGTCCTCTCACCGGTTATACTACAGAGCAATCGTAAAGTGGGTGTGTCCCCTCCAAAACCGTTCAGGACCGGGTTGGAGTTGCTCTTGGGTACAGGAATGGTCATGGTGATGGGTTTATGGAACTTCCTCCTGCGGGGCTCTAGGGTGACGATGGGGCTGAAGGTGGCCTTGTTACCAAGGATCTTCCGCACTACGTCTACACTCACTGGCTGGGCCTGGGAGAGGAGAGGACACAAAAACCTCACTTTCTATCACCATAAATCCAATTCCTTGTCTGGATTACATTTAAAGACAAGACATCCAAACAGTCAAATCCAGAATCTGATACAACACCGATGGGAGGAGTAGAAAATCTAAAAGTTTTGATTTTTTTATGGCAGGAGCATCATTTTGACAAAGACAATTATCCAGTAGCTTCAGACAAAACTTTTTTCTGTAGTTATTCAACTGTTGACCAGCATTTACCCACTGGTATGTAAAAGGCTTTTTACCTCTGGAGAACTTAGCTCATTGGTTACTAAGCGTTGCCATCACATCCTGTATTTCATAGAAAGAGATCCCCCCAAAAAAAGGTACATTTTAAAGTGTGAACAGTTACCTGGAGTCCAACCCTTATCCTCTTAGTGAGTGCCCCCTCGGGAAACACTGCCTGGACTTGGGGCACAACAGTGCTGCTTAGGATTCCTCCCTCAGGACCAATCAGATTGCTGTCTTGCTTGACGCGTGACACCACGGCAAAGTATTGCGGGAAGTCTCTCGTGATGATTCGACAGACGCGTTTCCGCTCCAGCTCCTCAGGTGTGTCCAGATCTGTGGGAAGAGGCAAACCACATCACAGGTCAAGGCCCCTGATGTGAAAGCGTTTCCCTTCCCTGTTTGCTGACAGAGGCAGACCTTCATCCATGCCATTTAGGATCTGGTTAAGCTCCTCCTGGGTGAATTCGCAGTGGTGCTCCTTCCAGCTCTCTCCTGTCTCACTCCTCAGGATGACCAGCTCTCGCTCTTTCCCCCGCAGAGCGGCAAAGTGAGGGATCTCAACAATCACAGGACTGGAAGAGCAGAAGGCAGATCTTGTCAGTGTGCATGGTGTGGTGACAAATATAACATTATACCTGATGCTAAGTGTGTGTTTGTGTGTTTGGTGAGGCTGTCACACACTTATCTAATTGTATTCAAATCAAACCGTTTTTAGTGAAGTTAATAAGATCATTTCAGGATGTTAAAATGTAGCTTTCCTTCAAAAATAGATAAAACAAAATTACCTTTAACTTAACAAGTGGTGTTATATCTGAAGCTACAGTGTTCAGTGAGAGGGCTTTTTGTTTACACTCTGCTCCTTAACGAACAGAATATCATTTGATTTGACTGCAGAGACCTGTTTATTCTTTATGCCCCATCTATTTGCAGTAAAAAAGTATAGATGTGTGTTTGTGCAGCCGTGCAGACTTCAGTACTCACTGTGCAGTATGAAAATCAAACTACATATCTATGTGACACATGCTTCATTGCAATACACATGGGACTAAAGCACAACTGCCGACGTTTCCGTGTGATATTTAGATGGTTTTTGGCCAGCCAGTACATTTATCACAGTTCCCACTGTTACTATTTTTGACATGAAACACTGGAACTCACACACTCAGTCATGTGAGAAATAAAGTCCACCCACTTTTGATTCTACAATTTTCTCTATATACCACTATTTACACATTTGACAAAATGTGTAAAGTCAAGCCTTACTGCTTCTAAAGGAAATAGGAGTACCCTCCTGGATCATGGGTGGACTTAGCTTTTCACACACTGCCTCAGTGTCGTGGGTTTAATTAACAATGATAACCACAATAAGGAAATAGCTCGTCAACCAAACAGGTTAAGAAATTAAAAAAACCCCACAAAGAAATGAAATATCCAGCAACCGTCCGGCCATGAAACCATTCAAATTTCA